CTTGCTAATGTCTCTTTCTTCCTATGGTACAGCTCTCCTCTGGTCCTTTAAGCAGAATGTTTTCCATACTTTTGTTTTATCTGCTATTGAGCTCAAGCTATGTCTGCTTCTCCTCCAGAGCTGAGTACATCTCTGAGTTAGTCTATAAGGTGGAACTTTGTTCTGCCTGGATGTGAGGAAGGGCACTTTCTGCTTGACAGTTTGTCAAACTTCTCTCTCAATTATACAGTGATCCAGTAAAAGATATCACAGACAAGCCTTTCCCTGAGGTCACAAGACTGCAGTCATTTCATTCTCTCAGCCCTCCCATACCCTGCACAGAATCAGGATTTCCCTATCTAGCCCAAAACTCAGGGCAACCTTTGGGACATGAGCACAGCACCTCTGGGGATTGGCACCCTTGGGGTAAGAGCCGATGTTCTAAACTAATGACTGAAATAGCCAGTAGCTAGGAAGGACCAGGGGGTCCATGTGCCAATGGATCCTGTCCTTCCCTTGACCTGCTCCAGTTCCTTTCCACTGCACAACTGTTTGCAGGACACTTGGATGGGAGTCCTCTCTTGATTGTATATCTACTTCCAGCCTGGCCTTCATGGGAGCACAAGACAGTGCAACATTTACCCCAACTTAGTCTAAAATAGCTTGATAAATCTACCTAAGGGAAGGGATCACGCAATGTGGTGCCTGCAATTACAAGACTAGACATGGTGATCCAGAAAGTCCCTTCCAGTCCTTTGTTCCATTAGCTACCCATTCACCCTTGCTAAAATCCAGCCCAGCATTTCTGCATTTCTAATCAGTGTTCATTATTCCTACTATTGTGTCTCCAATTTTAAAGCACACAGACTATTCCTCCAGTAGGCAGTGGAGCTTCCCCTGTGACTGTTTGCTTGTTAAGAAGAGTTGATCTCTGGGGGGATATTTTCATGTTGAACACACAGAAGATGTATATTCACATCTAGTAATGATACTAGCCCTTCAACAGTTAATTCTCATCAGTTCTGCCACGCTTTGGAACAATACTTGCAGATTTCATCCTATTATAATGTGAACTGCAGATTATGCTCTCTTTCCCTAGCCTCCAAGATAAGGCATGGAAACAATACAGTCATAAAAATTACTCCTTTATTAAACTGATCCTTCAGTCACAAATGCTGCCCATGTGGTTCCTTCTAATGGTGCCCAGGAGACAGGACAGATAGGAACACAAAATTGAAATGCTGGATCTAGCCTCAGGAGACTGGGAAATGTCAAGTTTGATCTCAGGGTGGCACCTTCCCCCACCTCCTCCACACTGGTAATTTTTTTGCTTGCTACTCTGACTGCTGACATGATCAGCCCCTCTGATTGTAGACACAACTAGAGCCCTGGGGACCCAGCGCAAGAGACAATTCAGTTTTGATCAGATATTTCTTAGCATCATCAGACCAAAACCTGAACTGCTGACTCAGCACTAACTCACTCAAAATGGGGTTTGTCAGGGACTGGGCTGATCAGCATCTCTGGAGTTTGTCAGTTTGAACTTCTGTTACAGGTGCTCAGCCCAGGGGGAATTTCCCCTGGCTGAGGGCAGAATAGAATCTGAGATAGGAATCTGGGATTTGGCCCACTATAATTAGAGCCCTATTAACGACAATGGTGACACGCTGAATAGACATTTCAGCTCTGATTCATTTCTTCCTGCAGAACCCAGGCTGGGACCTCTGGAGGGAAAGTATATTTGAAAGAGGTCCCAGTGATACAAGCTACCTACAGTCCCTCCTTGCCCAGGGTCCTGGAGCTGGGTAGCACAGCACAGGAACTAGATGGGGGTGGAAGGCAGGGCAAGATGCCTGGGTGATATGCAGATACTGTCAATGCCTGAGGGGGGTCTCTAACAGGAGCTCCTCTATGGAGTCCCAGGCTGATTTTACCCCTGGGGGCTAGGGTCTGAAGATCTCTCCTCCTTTCTCCTGGGATGAATCCCCTTAGTGTTGCCATTGCCCCAGTACAAATCACACCCTTCTACTCCACTCAGAGATTATTCTAGCCCTATAAATGCTGCGGTCTGCTGCAGACTAGCATTCCATGGGCTAGATGAGCGGTGCAAGTCAATCTGTGGGTTGGATCCTGCACAGCATTGGTCTGTGGGTCCACCACAAGCCGACCCAAGCCAGCTGCCTGCCACCCTGGAGCAGCAAATTATACTGCCACTGACCCCCTCTGACAAATTTCTGGACCCTCAGGGAATCCTGTAGGTTGGCTGATATGGTTCCCAGGCTGGATCTAGCCCACAGACCAGGAGTTGAACACCCCTGGACTGACAGATACAGCCTAAGTTAGTTTGTTTGTGTCTCACCAGAGAAGCTGAGTCCTGCCTGGGCGTGCATAGTGAGTGCTCTTTATGCCAATAAAATGGCCTGAGGGGTAACCTTTGCAGTAGTCTTTGCTCTGTGGATAAATATGAGCCTTCAGCTTCCAGGACCATCAATCTATCACCTCTCCCAAGGAACAAAAGGGAAAAAGCTCCTAAGATGGAGGTTATCTAATCTCTCCATTCTATGGGCCTCTTTGCAGGAATCTTCTCATATCTACCCCCTACCTCCCTTCTTTGCCAACTGCTGTTGCAGGCCACCAGGAAGGGCTCTGTGGAACATGGGTGTCTGTGAGCATAATTGAGATGACTGGATTGCAGGAGAGAATGGAAACACAGATGGCAGAAGAGAAAGGGTCATTTGGAGCAGGTGCCTACCAACATGGAGCCATCCTCCTTCCTGGAACAATGCACCAGAAATGCACACCTGTGCAACTCTCCCCAACCAGCACAGCTCCCAGCCTGCAGCCTGGAATCCTTTCCTTTTCTGCACCATACAGGCACAGTGAGAAGGCAAACTTCCATCATCATGCTCCGCTCTGCTCCTCTGACAAAATTAAGAAAGCCTGTGGGACAAGGGACAGTTCTGCCCTGATAGCTTTGCCAGCAGAGACAAGATACATGTGGACAGAGGGAGTTTTTCTGCCAGCATAGCTACATCATTACTCCCTACCACAGGTGCTAAGAGAAACCATCCTCTATTAGCAAAGCTGCACCCCAACCAGGAGGTCCACTGGCATAGCCACCTCAGGTAGTGGTTATGATCTTCTTCCACCGCACCCAGCACAAATGTGCTGGCAAAATGTTAGCGTAGACTAAACCTCTGAGAGCATGAGATCCAGGGAAGGGAGCCTATCTGTAATGTTTTCACGGTGCTGAGCAATATCTCACAATGCCAATAATAAACAATAACAAGGACAAATGATCATTCACTACCATGGTATGAAAGGTACCTGCTCCAGGCCCACTCCTGCTCCTCTTGAAGTGAACGCAAAATGCCTCAGTCTCAATGGGAACACAGAGCTGTCCTCACACCATCTGTGTGTGCACAAGCGGGTGGCAGTATAGGCCCCTGCACCCAGATTTGTGTGTAGTGTGTGCATGTTCCTTTCATCCACGTGGTCCCAGCTGCCCAGAAACACCTACTCTGAGCACAAGCACATCCTCATCCATGCCAACCTACACTCAATGATGGAGCTGGGCCAGGGCAGACTCAGCTCTGGGAGAGAGTCCAGTAGCCCTTACCAGGGAAGGTCATAGCGAGGCCTCACCCAATTTCACAAGAACTGTGAGAGCTATGTGGCTGTGGCTAGTGGGTCCTAGCATCATTTCACCACCCTCAAATGGATAGAAATAATTCTGGCTGAGAAAACTTGTTCTTGACAGCCTGCAGCAGGGAGGTGGAGGGGATGTGAATGGGAGTGTCTATCACATGGTATGGCTAACAAAGAGGGAAAAAATCTATTGGTCTATCCACACCAGTCACAGAAACACGCCAGGATCTGACCAACAGTTACAGACTGCTGTTGTAATTCTCACCCTGCTCTGGGATAACCCAGACCTTGCCACTGTTTCTAACAGCTAGATGGATGGAAAAGGTAAGGGCAAGCAGACATGATCCCTGCCCTGTGGTGTATGTCACAACATCCCCAGCTCTGGCTGTGGAAATCCCAGGCACTGATCAGAGAGGTGAAAAATGCAGAAAAGAGCAAGTGGATTTGTTTTTAACTTAAGGGCTGAGCTCTAACCAAAGAGCAAAAACAAATGAATTCCCCTGGTTAGATGCAGCTGGGGATCTGGATTAAGCAGCAGAATAAACACCCAGTGATTCAAGTGCTCCAGGACAACCTGGAAAAGAGGCAAGCTCGGCAGACAGCACCTGTGCTCAGGCTATAGGCAGGGGTGCAAGGCTGTGTCCTAAGGAGCTGGAGTCGGCAGTGGAAGGCAGCCCGGGCACATCAGCCATGCTAGGGTCGTCCCTTCTTCTGGGGATCCAGGTGGCTACAGCAGCAGCTGCTTAACAGCGCCCGGAATCACAAGACTGTCTGTACTGCGCTTGAATGCATAAAGAGCCACGGCTGCACGGATGCTACGGCAGCGGGTCTCAGCGCTGCGTGCCTGCTGCATACACAGGGATCCCACAGTCCCGCACGCACACACGCCCAGCCGCCCCGCGTACAAACACATACACACACGTGCACCCCAGTGAACACACACGTATACACACGCGAGCACCCCCCAGCACACACGCACGCACACACACAGAGCTGGGCGTGCACTGGCGTGCACAGGGAAGGGAAGGGACAGGCGCCTCGCAAAGCCGAGCGGGGCCCGGGGCGGCGAAGGGGCGGGAGCGGGAAGGGGGAGGGGGAGGGGGAG